ATGTTCAACTTGTGGTCTACCTGGACTCCTAGATCCCTTTCACATGTCGTTTCATTCAGCCAGGTGTCCCTCATCCTTTATCTGTGCTTTTCGTTTTTCTGCCCTAAGTGCAGTACCTTACATTTCTCTGTGCTGAATTTCATTTTGTTTTCTAGTCTGTTCAAGTCATTTTGAATTTTGATCCTGTCCTTTGGGGTATTAGCTACTCCTCCTAATTTGGTGTCATCTGCAAATTTGATAACTATTCCCCCAATACCGTCATCCAAGTCATTAATAAAGATATTGAATAGCACTGGACCCAGGACAGAGCCCTGTGGCACCCCACTAGTCACTTCTTTTCAGATTGATAAGGAACCATTGTTGAGCACCCTTTGGGTTCGACCAGTCAACCAATTACAAATCCATGTAACAGTTACTTTGTCTAGCCCACATTTTACCAGCTTGTTTGCAAGAATGTCATGGGGAACTTTGTTAAAGGCCTTACTGAAATCAAGATATATTATATCCACAGCATCCCCTTCATCTACCAAGCTGGTAATTTTATCAAAAAAAAGAGATCATATTTGTCTGGCATGACCTGTTTTTCTGAAACCCATGTTGACTTTTTGTGATTATGAAATTATCTTCCAGATGTTCACAGACTCTCTGTTTAATGATCTGCTCCAGAATCTTTCCTGGTATTGATGTCAAACTAACTGGACGATAATTGTTGGGATCCTCTTTTTTCCCCTTTTTGTAGATGGGGACAACATTTGCTCTCCTCCAGTCAAAGATTATTGCCAATGGTTCAGATATTACGTTTGCCAGTTATTTTAATACCCTTGGATGTAATTCCCTCCTTCCCTCCACAGTGCCCAACCCATAAGCTCCTGACACTGCCCACATGGCTATCCCTTTTTTTGGCAATCCTACAGGCTTGGGAAAACATCTGGCTACATTTCAAATAGTCAGATGTTAGATGACATCACTGCTGAGTTCCCCCCCCCCCACCTCCTCCAGGGTCTCAGTGCTGTTCTAAATCATGTTGCATCTAGCTATGGGGACATAGGCAGATGCTTCTTCAAGTCTGCCTGTTTACTGTAATAATAATATTTTTTAAAATAATAATAAATTTTTATTTATGTGAATCATGGAATCGTCATATGGAGTGGCTTATCAGGGGCTTATCAGTAAGTTAGGGAGAAGGCATAGTACTGGTCCAGAATGGTTTGAGTACTGAACTCTGGAGATCAGGGTTTGAATCCTGACTTAGCCATGTAAACCCACTGGGTGAACTTGGGCAAGTCACTCTTTCCCATCTTTAGAGGATTGCAATGGGAAACCCCCTCTGAAGAAACTTGCCAAGAAAAGCCTGTGATAGGTTCACCTTAGGGTTGTCCTAAGTAAAAAATGACTTAAAGGCACACAACAACAATAAGCGTTGGTCCATACATACATATTTATGCTACACTGAAGGAATGCTGGACTGAGGCCATGTTTTTTCTGTGGATAGCCCTTCCATGAATTATGGAGAGCACATGGGATTGGAGAAGATGCTATTGGTCTGCATTTGGCTATGGAGCACGGCTAGATACTTCTCTGATCCTGCCTTCCACCAGTTATGGAATGGCCATGGGGGGGTGTATCACAGGAAAACCCTGAGTACTGGGAGTGGCAAGAGAGCACACATTTATTTATTTATTTATTTAATTATTTAATTGCCCTTATCTCTTTCTCCCAGATGGGATGCAAAGCATGAGAATTCTGCCTGTAGAACTCTTGCATCACATGGGACTATGTAGGATCTCAGCCCTTAAGTCTCTACTGCCATATGTATGCCATTGTACAGGGCAAAGATTGCTCCGTCTTCCCTGCTTCCTCCCCTGCACAGCATTAGCTGGGGGAGGAGGGATGTCTTCCAAGCACAAATCTACTGGGGTTGTGGTGAGGAGAATTCTGGTCACCAGTGAAAAAGTACAAGCATGTGATAATTTGTAGTGAAAGCTGTTTGACAGTGGAACACACTACCTCGGAGTGTGATGGAGTCTCCTTGTTCAGAGGTTTTTAAACAAAGACTGGATGGCCCTTGGGTGATCACTGATTGCTTGCTATAATGCCAAACATTTTTATGGTGTAATCCTACTTAACTGGAAGCAGGGGGGTGGCTTCATTGTCATTCAGGTGGTGAATCTGCCCCTTGGAATCATTCATGTTGCTGAGCCTATCTTAGGGACCATTTCAGCATTTTCAAATGGCAGCTCTTTTCCAGTGTGGACTAAAATCCAGAGTAAATTTTTTGCCCCACTGTTCTTCATCTTGTTATTATCATTTTCATTCAAGCTGGCTTCAACTAATGGAGTCTCTATAACTGAGAGATCTCTGTAAGCCCTGGTCATCAGCAACCCCCCCCCCCCCTCAGGTCTTGCAAACTCAAGGGCATGGCTTCCTGTATTGAACCAGCCCATTGTAATGTGATCTTCCTCTTTTCTTACATCCTTCCACTTTTTGTAGCATTATCATCTTCTCCAATGAGTTATTTTGTTTAATGACAAATACCATGAATCACCAAAATGGGACAATGGATCTTAGAGCAAATTAATGCTAAACTGTCCCTGCTCAACTGACACTAAATTTTCAGTAGCTGCTACTGCCTAGGAGAAAGCCCCACTGAAATCAGTGGAATTTGTTTGTAGGATTGCACTATCATGTTAATCTTTTCTTTTCATTTTGTACTGTTTCAACAACATATGAAAGCTTCATCTTCATTCTCATCAAATAAAATGTGTTCTCATCAAGTAAATAAAGTATGTTTGCAATCATTTCATCAGTTGAGCCAATCCATCAATGAAGCCTTGCTACGATGGCCATCTGTCAGGAGTGCTTTGATTGTACATTTCTGTATGGCAGAGGGTTGGATTCAATGGGTCTTGTGGTGTATTCCAGCTCTTCTATGATTCTATGATTCTCTCTTAGCATCAGATATGAAAATCAATTGATATGGTGAGAACCAGGTTCTGAAAACTCCTTGCAGTAGGCCCCACCAAGAAGAAGCCCATTTTCAGTCAACAGCAATCACTATATTATGGTATGTCAATCAGGAAACTACAATTGAGAGAACAATTTAAAAAAAGCTTTGTTGGTTCCAGTGAAGCTCACCTGAAGACTGTAGAATCATACAGCCTGCAAGCACCTTGGCGACTACAGCCAGTGTTTGCCCACTTCAAACAAGCTCTGTCTATTACAGCACCAAAATAAACAGGAGCTGGAATTCCACCTGGAAGACATCAAGCAGGAAATATGTACCACGGTGTAATTTACAACAGAGATAAGTAACTTATGGATTCCATCCTAACCTTCCCAATAAAATCTGAGGGGGCAAAAGGACCATCACCATACTTAGAAGTCTCTGAGGAACATATTGTTGGGTAGCTGTGTTGGCCATATAGCAAAGTACAATAACATCCAAAATCCACGAAACAGTGATACCTTTATTTGGCCAACCAAAATGTATAAAATACATGATGCAGGCTTTTGAAGCTCCACTGGCTTCTTCATCAGACAAAGGTATCAAACAGGAGAAAACAGGAGAAAATGATTCTCAACACCTTTGCCTGATGAATAAGCCAGTGGAGCTTTGAGAGCTTGCATCATGTATTTATGAATTTTGGTTGGCCGACTAAAAGTATCAGTGTTTTGTGGATGTTTGATGCTATTGTAGAAGTCCCCAATAGTGCTTTAAAAAGGGTCATGAACAGTTTTCTGGACAAAAATAAACTCCCTCCTCCACAAAAAGTGGCTGAGATCCACCATTGTTAAATGTAACTACAACAAGAGAGCTCTGTCATCGTAGCTACGTCTGACAATGCCACCACCTCCCTCCCCCCCCCCAAACCCTACCGTTTTATCATGGCAGCACCCTTTTTGTAGGGTTTCTGAGGCACTGCAGATTGGAACACTGAGAAATAACAGCTGTAGCACTGTGTGGGTCATGGGGCCATTGAGAACAAGTGGCAGGAGAGACCCCTGGGCTCAACACCACTTGCCACCAGGAGAGCATTGCCAACATAATTTCCCAGTGATGTTGAAGAGCCCTGGTGGTGCAGTGGTTAAATGCCTGTACTGCAGCAATTCACTCATACACCACAAGGTTGCGAGTTCAATACTAGCCAGGGCTCAGGCTAGACTCAGGCCTGTATCCTTCCGAGGTTGCTAAAATGAGGGCCCAACTGTTGGGGGGCAATGAGCTTACAGTTGCAAACCGCTTAGACATCCCATAGCGCAATATGAAGTGATATATAAATGAAGCTGCTTTGCTTTGCTTTGCAATATTTGGGGCACTGCTTGGCTGAATAGGTAGATTTTTGAGGTCATGTTTGATTTATAACAACTGTAAAGGTAAATCCAAAGTTATGAGATTATAAATTCAGTTTGCAATTTCATAACTACTAAACAGGATACCAGCCAGGATCACACCCCCCCCCAAAAAAATCCGAATTGTTTCCACAAGGAAATCTACCACACTGCAGAAATAAAGCAGTTTGACACGACTTTAATGTCATGGCTCCATCCTGTGGAAGCCTAGGATTTGTAGTTTGGTGAGGTATTCAGCCTGGTCTGTCAGAGAGCTCTGGTGCCTCACCAAACTACAAATCCCAGGATTCTGTAGGATAGAATCATGGCCATTAAAGTGGTGTCAAACTG